CCAACCAGGCGTATGAGTAACAAAAGCTATTAAAAATTATAGTCGCCTATTTAGCGAACGCTTGCATGGGAGCGCAGAGAGCGTGGGGCGAGCGAGTCTCACCATGTGCTGCAGGCAGGGAGGGGGGTGTGAGGGGGAGCGCTGCCACTACTGCCTACTGTTAGGCGCATCAAAGGCGACCCACAAAGCTCATTGATACCCTGTGAGACAACACGAACTCTTAACTGGCTAAACCCATCCAACAGTCAGCAATTACGCTCAACTTATCAGAGAGATACTGTCCCAACTAAATATAACTATATATAAAGGCAAATAAACAGAACTATAAAGTATAACTTGGAATTGTAGAAGTATAAGTATAGTATAAAACAAAAGATTGATAGATTGATTAATAGAGCAGATTATATGACTAAGGAAACAATATATATGTCTAATCTAGTAAATATTGGAAAAATCCAAATTGAAACAATTTTAGTTAAATTGCAAACATTAAAAAAGTATACGTTAATACAAATATTTAAAAAGTCTAGATTTTCTATACAAAATATTTTACATTCTATAGATATTTTTTTATTTTTACTGCTCGCATACTCATATTTAATAATCCCATATTAAATTAACCATAAAAACCTCTTACTATTAACTATCATTGATATTTTTATAAAATTCACAATTTTTCCTTATATTTTATTTATCACCAAATGGCCTTTGTTAGGGTATTTATGATTCGTTGATTAGATAACATTGCATTGTTTGAATTTATTTATTTTTTTTTATGGATTTTGTTAGTTTTGAATGATTAATTTTTATTTGCATGTGCAGTATGCACACACACACACATACAGACACACGCACACACATGTATATGTGCATAAGTGTCAAGCTATTAACAATTACTTGTTGCTGTTGTTGTTGTTGCTGCATTTGTTGTTATTCTTTACATAACACGTTTTTGCATTTCATTAACAGCAAAGTTTTCAGTTGAGCTGCGACGCCAACTGCAACTGCGACTGCGACCACAGCAGCGCCGTCAACAAATAACAAAATAACTTCGAAAACGCCACCTGTTTGTGTGAGTGTGTACGTGTGCATGTGCGTATGCGAGTGTGTTTCACACTGGGAACAGTTTAACAGGCGCACAGCAGACGCTGCTAGCTGCGATGTCCTCCTGCAGCAGCATGTGGGCTGTTTACATTTTGGCACGCTTCGTGCGTCGACAGCGGCAGCGGCAGCGGCAGCGGCATCGGCATCGGCAACGGCAGCGACAACTGCGAACGTCGAAGCTGCACAATTTCAATAATTCCTGCGGTGTCATTGCTTAAGCATTGTTGTTACTGCCGCTGCTGGTGCTGATTTTAATGCTCATTTTATTCCTTTATTAATTCACTATTAGAAGCCGACAGCGACAGCGACAACAACGCCGGCGACATAGAACTTTTTTATATACGTTTTCAGTGTTTTTGTTTTTGTTGTGTGTGTGTGCTTAGTGCTTGTAGCTGCTGCTGCTGCTGCTGTTGCCTTAGTAGTTGTAGTTGCCGTTGTCGTTGCTTGCCGATTGTTGTTATTGCACGCCGTCCGCGGCTATTGGCCAATCAGCGCGGCGATCACGACATCGCCAGCGTATGGCAAAGCGAAACGACGTGATGCGATGGCTAAAAATAGATTCTGTACATTCACTTGACGAGCCCGAACCCCCAGCCGAATCCATCGTCGTCGTCGTGCTGCCAAACGACGGCCTTGGAACACTGGAAACGGAATGTGAGCAAAGCAAATTGTGCTCTGCCCTGCCGCTCTGCCGGTGTCAGACTGAGCGCCTAGCTGCTGCAGTGCCAATTTCTCCACCTTCATCTCTCGCTCACTCTCACAACATTTGTTGTTGCCAGTGCTGCAGTTACTCTTCTTTTAAGTTTCATAGTAAATATGACATTTGTATGTTTGCATATGAGTGTATATATATATATATATATTTTTTTTTTAAATATTTGTTTAACAAATTCGCCACTTTAAAGTGCTTTTAATAAACCAACTAACAGATGACAATTTGCGCAGCGAACGCCGACGCAACTACTATACTATAATGACAATGCTAATAAAACTCTTTTATAGCTCACACACACCGAACTTTGAATGCACTTACATGTGCCAGAATTGCCATCACAATATAGTATATTGTGTGCATACATATGGAGAATTCATATATATATATAATATATGTATGTCGTGTGTTCAATTTGAATGCAACTTATTATATCAAAGCGAAGCTCGCTGCTGCTCAGTATGTTACAAACGCAATGACTTAGTTGAACACTCTGGCGCAATGCTTTTAACGACTGCCCGTCGTCGCGTGAGTGGGACAAACAAGTGCGGGAACAATGAGAACGAAACGGCAGAAGCGAAGCCGAAACGACCAGCCGGTTGGTTGTCTATCGCCGTCGCCCCTGTTGTGAGTCGTTGCGTGCTGCTCTTTTCGCTCTCCAGTCACGAGCAGCGACGCTGCGCTGTGCGCTCTGCGCTTCGTTATTGTTTCATTTTTTGCTGTTCCCACTCGTTTTGTTGTTGTTTTGTTATTCTTCTGTTTTGTGTTTGTTGCTGTTGCCGGCTCTTTGCCGGCTGCTCCCCTGAAAATATACAAGCACACTTAGTATGCGTATGCGAACATAAGTGTGCGTGCGTGTGTGTGTGTGTGCATGTGTGTGTATTTATTTACCCACAATTTTAGCTCTTTGCTGCGCTTTGAGAAATAAATCAAAACATTTGATTGATTGTCGACTGCCCCCAACATTTTACTAACTGGTGTGTGTATGTTGGTGTGTGTGTGTGTATATGTGCGTATGAGTGCTTTAGTAAGCTTGTATTGCTCTTGTCGACGCGCACCCTTCTCAGTCAGTTTCACGTTGGCAGCGGCCCACGAACGGTATCGCCGTCGACGTCGCAGTCCCTGCGTCTGCCGATTTGCCAGCCAGCTGATAAGCGGCTGCGTCTTATCGGAAGTTGGCGACAATTTCGATGTTGTCGCTTCTTTCCCCATCCCCACCCCCACCCCCTTTCCCCATTCCCCCCATTCACAATGTTTGTATATATCGCCTGAACACAATAACTCGCAGAGGAAACCTCTCCAGCCCCCAATAAAGTAAATCATCAAGTCATCTACGCGTCGATGTTAAAGATAACTGAGCGTGCAATGCGCGTCAAAGAAAGTTTTAACTTAACAGACCAGCCACGATTCATTTACACTTACCAACAAAAATCATTCTAAACACACAAAAATGTCTTCATCTTCTGGTTAAAAATTACTTTCAAACACAAAATTGTCGAAGTGTAAATGAAAATTGTCAAATTTTCAATACACCCATATATACAAGCATTCATATGTATATACATACGTATGTACATACATAAAAAGCTATTTGAATTCACTGAGAGAGTTCACTCAGCGTAAAGCTTGCCAAGAACCGAGAGCGAAATTTGCATACTGCCATCTCGCTCTGCCGCACTAAGCATATGGCTCTCACGCAACGAAGCTCTCTAAGATTTCATGTAAATATTTCGTACAAGATATCCAATCAGCATAGTGAGTGAACTTGAGTGTTTTTCCAAGTTCAATTCCAGCAACAACAACTGGAATCCAATAAGATTCCGTCAAAATAAAGCACTCTTGATTTTCTTCAACTGCTTCCGAGCAGCAAGCAGCCCTGGGATGGTCATCGAGTTCTACTGGGGCGAACGCATACACTCACATAATTATGTAAGTACAGTAAGGCTCGTGTCCCATTGGCTAGGCCTAAATGTAACTCTAAGCCGGCTGCGCATGCCCCTTTTTCGAGCTTTGATATTTTTCCCCAACGAAATATTCACATTCGTTTTCAAGGTCAGCGGCGTCGTCGTTGTCGCGTCGCAGTCTGTGCCGCTGTCGCTGCATTTGCAATGCGTATGCAGCGTGGCGCTTGTTTCAATGTCAAATCGTTTCAGCCGAAAAATTACACTGACACGAAACTCAACATTATTGCAGCGAAAACAAAATGTATTATATCGCTGCAAAAAAAAAAAAAATATATATATATACATAAAATAAATGTATAAAATAAAATACTATATAAGCAAATTTTTTATGTTAAATAAAAATTTGTAAATTTTTACTTAATAAAGTCTTTCAAATATCCAATTTGGCAATTTTTTGGAAATTGTACTTTTTGACCACTGTCGATAATAATTGTACTAAAAAAGTAATTTTATGTTTGTATGCTCGTTAGTTGACAGAAATGTGTGTCCATTTATGTGCATATCTACTTGACAAGTATACTATATATATGTACATAGACATATGTAAACATATATGGATATATATGTATATACATACATATTTTATATTTTAAGTATGTACGTACAGTGGACTCTAATAGCTTTTGATCCAATATAAACCCAACAACCCGGCCACATTTTGCAACTTTTTATTTCTTTTTGATTCTGTTTTTTTTTTTTCTGCTGTTTATTTTGTATATTTTTGGGTGGTTTTCGATTCCGTGGCGTTCCCACTCGAGCATTTGAGGCTTGGCCAGTGGCGTCGTTGCCACGGTGGTTGTGGGGCCCGTCCAGCCCACGCAGCTGTTGTTGGCAGCGACGCCGTCACTGGGTCGATGTTTGCGGGCTGCGTTTGTTTATTTGTTTGCCGTGCGTTGGCTGTTTCGTTTCCAGCGTTCCGCATCGGCAGTCGGTCGAACTGTCGCCTCGTCGCAATTTAGTGCTTTGCGTGTACCAGACTTGAACGCAACGCCGCCCGCTGCCTTCACAGCACGTCGCCCACCACCAACCAGCTCAAACCATACAAGAAAACCCGAACAGACACATACGAACGAACGAACGTGCGAGCGAGCGAGCGTGCGAGCGGTCGGATAGCCGACGAGGTTCTTATTAGATTTTTTATAGTGGCTGCTATTGTTGTTGCTCCGAGCTTAGAACGAACGCCAGCAGCAGCAAAGGCAAAGGCAAAGGCAACAGCAACGGCAACAGCAACGGCAACGGCAATAATAATAACAAAAACAATAATAAAAACAACAGCAAAATCAACAACAACAAACGGGCGGCCGCGCCTTTGCATTTGACTTTAGCGCGCTTCGCAGTCGGCGACGTTGGCGTTTCTCGTTTCGTTTCGTTTTGTTCTTTTGCCTCTCGCATTAGAACGCGCGCTGCCATCGTCGCTGCCGGCGTCGCTGCTACAGTGCTTGTCGACGTCGACGTCGACGGTCGTATTGGGCTTAAGCGAATTTCAAATTCGCCTGAACTTTTATTCAACGTGTTGGTTTCGTCGCGTGAGCAACTCTGAAACTGAAAACAAGAAACAAAATTCTATCTATCTGTACAAAAAACCAAAACAACAACAACAACAAACGAAGAACAAACATTTATTAAGAGTCCCCGAAAATAAAAACATTGAATATACCAATACCAGCAACTCTACCCGTAACCGTATCTGTTAATCGTTAACCGTTAACCGTTAACCGTTCGTTAACCGCAATCGTAACCATAACCGTAACCGTGTAGCCGTAACCGTAATCGTAGTCTTAGTTTGATATCCCATTCGCGTCTATATCGTGTGTTCCGTAGCTGTTTCGAAAATATATATTTAATTTTTTTTTTGTCGGATTCCACTTCCAACAGTTACAGAGAGCTATATATAGATGCTGTATCTGTTCAAATAAGAGAAAAACCGATTTATAAGTATATATACCTACATATATTGTTATATATCCGCCTGGATCGTATAGATCGTACAATATTTTTTTTGAAGTGTTATAAACCACCAAGTGCTACCAAAAATGCCTTACTACAGCGTTACGCTTTAGTGTCACAAGTGCTACTTATCGTTAAATGCGAGCGACCAGTGTTGGTTAACATCACGCATACACACACGCATCAACAGACAATCAACGTTAGCCAACACTCGCAGTTCAGTTCTGCTTCATCAATCTCGACCACAAGTTCTACGTCTTCGCCATCATCATCCGGCTCTTCAGCTGCATTAACAGGTGAGCACTACGACCTAGGTTTATCCTCTCTCTCTCCCTCTGTATTCCTTTTCCTCTCTACTTAAACGTCTATACAGTTCCATGTGAGTCTACGTGACTCTACTCACACGCTGGCACATTTATCGCAATGCGCTCGCCCCGCCCGGGTAAATAACAGCCCCCGCCCGCCGCTTGCCGCCCCCGCCCCACCCCCTAAATTAGTGGGGCCAGTCCAATCCATATACTGATTATGATTCGCTTGCGATAGTTATGTTTGAGCTTTTGCGGTTGCGGGAAACTCCCCGATTGCACCGTCCATCCGATCCGATCCGATCCGATCCGATCCGCTCGCACTGCAATTCGGATGGCTGCATCGAGCCCCGATTCCATTAGGAACGAACTTACACCAGCTTAGCGGACTTAGCTGCGACACTCAATCGCTTGGTGTGAATCTATTCGCATCGTGTCTTTTATTGCCTTTGCGAACTTCATTAGAATGCACAGCGTTGTCAGCTAGCGATTCATCACTCTGCTCTAAGAGCTCAACTAAGATACATTCTGATGCGAATATATTATTGGGTGAAGCGTCATCACAGTATCACAGCATTTGAATTTTGCCTTTAGCTCTTCTCTTTTTGAAAGTCGTTTGACTAGCGTAGCATCTCAGCAATCACAGTTAATTGGTATCTTAAAAATGTTCAATTCTTGTTTCATCAAAGCAATCCAGGTATCACAGTAGTCGAATCTTACCTAGACGACTTTCCTCAACAGTTAACCCATTGCTAGGAAATCAGCATTTTCATCACAGCAATCACACTATGGATAGTATCACAGTATTCGAATCATGTTATCATATAACTCATAACTGTTACTTAACAGCTTAGCTACTTTTTTGATCTATCTATGCATTATTCATAATTGTTTGTTAATTATTCGAGTCACATTACAAAGATAACAGCATTCCCTAACACTCTCCCTCTCTTTCTCTCTTTGTCTCTGTCTCATTCGCTGATATTACTCACTTGCCTCACATATGCTTGCCACTCATCAAGAGTCTTTCGAGCACATTGCATATATTGCATATGAATCATGTGGATCATCGTGGACTTCACAATCCTCACAGATTCCCAATTGAATCTAATTGGAATTGCGATTAGCATTGCTGAAAGTCCAACCGAAGCCAAAGTCTTTACAGTCTAATCAGAAGCGCGTTTGATTCCTTGCTTAATATATATATTTATTAATAATATAAATATGTATGTATATGTATTTTATTAGATTTTACTATACTATATGTTTTCTTGCTCTTCTTCTTGCGCGTGGAATTCTGCAATCGCATCTGAACGAAATGGGGCCACATGGAAGCTGTTGCATATATGTTTGCTTCTTCTTCTACTTCTTACTCTTCTTTTGCCCTGCTCCATATATTATTTATATATATATATATATATTTATAAAGAATCCATTCTTGAAATTCTTTTCATTTTGCATATGGGCCACGCGGAATTTTGCCAATTTCCACTTGCTTCAGCTGCCACTGCTTCTTCTTCTTCTTCTTATTGTGTGTGCGTGTGTATGTGTGTGTGTGTGTGTGTGTGTGGAGCTAGCGATGTTGCCTGTCGCAATTATCTGCGGCTCGTGCCATTGCAAAGGGCACAAACACACACACACACACACACACACAGCTAGTCTGGCCTGCTGCCTTGCCAAGGCAGCGCACACACACACACACACACACTCACTCATACATATGCATATATATGTATACATATATATCAGGTTAACAGGTGTTTTGGCTCTTTGCGCACTTCTTGTCCGTTTTGGCTTTGGCTTTGGCTTTCAACGCCTGTTGCCTTCGCTTGCCACGCCTCTCTTTTGGCCAGCAGCTGCACATCATTTTCTTCTCTTTCCCCCAGCCTCTTTCACTCAATTGAATTTATTCATTAATTTATTAAGCAATTTTTGCGAACAAAAACAAAAAGGAAAAAAATATTAAGAAGGAAAATGCAACGCATTTTCCTTTAGCCAAAAATCAACCCCTTGGCGTGGACCTCAACCACCCCTGCAGCTCGAAATAGATAAATACTGCAAGCGCTTAAGTCTATTGCGACCCAAAATAAAAGAGGGTTACTTGCGACGAAATTTCAAAAAAAAAAAAAAAAAAAAAAAACATATAAAAAAATAACAGAGAAGAAGAAGCAGAAGTAGAAGTAGAAGAAAAGCTGAGCGCTGCGCATTTTATCGCCAAAGATTTATGCGAGCGAATGCGGAAAATGTCAATGGAAAATAGCCGCAAGGCCCAGCCAGCCAGCACCCTTCCCCTTGCCTATGTGCCGCACCCCCTTGAGCCCATTTCTTTGGCTGTTGTCAACATGCGTGCCTGGGGGTTGCTGGGAGGGGTGGGCGGGGAACGGGGCGGCGTTCGTCTGTGTCGATTGTTAAGGGTGTTCATATATGCGCCTAAAAACATAAATTTTATGAACATGTGAGAATTGTACTCAATGTATGTAGTTGAGCCACTCAGTTGGGGCTACACACACAGGCATACATGTGTGTGTGTGTGTGTGTGGTGTGTGTGTGTGTGTGCTTGTAATGAATGATTTCCATTGTTGGCAGCTCGCTCAAGCTCAAGCCGAAGACGCAGTAGTTGCTCTTACTACCCAACACACACACACACATGTGCGTGTGTGCATGTGCGTCTAATGTTCCAAAAACAAAACAAAAAAAGTTTCAAGAAAACTGCGGCGTCACATTGCAGAGACCCTCCTCAGTTAAGAGCAGGCCAAGCCCGGACAGGCCAGAGCAGAGCAGAGCAGAGCAGACCAGTCCAATCCATCCACACAAGAATTTTGATTCACTCGCAATAGAACATATTTGTTTCTGTTTTCCCTGCTAGTTGGTACATAGTATATTCCACTTTCCAGTTTTCATTTTCCATTTGCCTCTGACATGCCCAATTCCAATCTCAATTCCACTTCCATTGGCCCCGTCCAAGCGTTTGACTCTTTAGACTTGAGTCCGACATGTGTTTCATTTCGATGTAAGCAACTTTTTAGAACTTATAAACACACATATATATAAATATATATATATACATATATCATATATATATATATTTGTATATATCCCATAAAGCTAACGCCCAAAATGGCCTTTTGAGTACATGCTACAAATTATACAATATACATATATGTATATAACCTATGTCAAGCGTATGTATGTAGTCCGCATTAATGACTCCCGATCCCCATTCCCATCTCTCTGCCAGCCCTGACCACCCGCCCGCCCCTTCCTAACCCGACTGTAGTTGGCCTGAAGTTTACAGCCTTGACAGGCGCGCAATTTGACGAGTTGAAGCCGACCAAAAAGAACATTTCGACTTTGCGACAGTGTTGCCACCCGTCCAAAAGCATCGTAAAACATGTAGTAAAAACTTTTGTGCCAAACGCAGCAAGGGTGAACTGGCAAATACCCTAGCTGAGCAGAATCAGTGGGTATATTATCAGCAATAGGCAATGCTTGCAATGACCATGATGATAATGATAATGATGATGATGATGATGATAGTGATGATGATAATGCTAATGCAAAAGTTAACGCTAATAATATTGCTAATACTTATGCCAATGCTGAAGTTCATGGTAGATAATGCTAATGGTAATGCTAATACTAATGGTAACGCTAATACTAATGCTAATGCTGATGCTAAAATGTGTTACTTATGGTAATGCTGATGCTAATGCTAATGATAGTCATAATGCCAAAATATTTGATAATACTTATGCTAATTCTAAGACTTTATTGATCATGATAATGATATTCATAAACATAATCCTAATCATATTCACAATCAGAATCACAATCTTAATCATAATCACTATTATAATTACAATCCATATTATAATCATAATCATAATGATACGAATGATGATGATGAATGATAATGATTATGAAGATGAAACAGTAAAGAAAATCATGTGGGCAATCTATTAATAATTGATCATGATGATCATACTGATCATGATGATAATACTGACAATAACAATGACAATGATAATAACAATGAATAGGCCAACAAAAACATTTGCAAAATATGCCTAAGCCATGATAATGCTCAGCTATAATTATAATATATATTGTGTCATATATTATTATAATTGGCCAGCAAGCTAATATGCCCGTCTTCACTTCCAGCTAAACAGTGTAGAAGCTATTGAGACGCAACTGTACGCAGCATCGCTGGCGAGACACGGCTCATTTCCATTCAGCATTTGGCCGTACATTCGTATTCACATATTCATACTCACATATTCACACACTCATGCACTCATACATTCACATATTCATTCCATATTTCTCTCCATAATTCTTTGGTTCGGGGCCTGTCAAAAACTTTGCGTACGACACAAAACTGTCAAAGTTTATGAAGGCGCATTTTCGAATGTATTTTCGACGCTCGACGCATCTTTGTCAGGGCTGTTTGGCGTTTCCTTTCCGTTTTGTGGCTCTCGATATTTGTAGCGCAATGAAATTGTCAACGAGCTGCCAACTAAATAAACTAATAAATAAATAAATTTGGACTGCAGATGCTTCGAATGTAAACAGAAACTAAAAGTAAAAAACTCAACTAAGCGCGTGAGTAGCCCGGCGCCGGATATTAACACCGTCAGCTGATGTATCGATCGATGAGCGAGCATCTCTGCACAGTGAACACTGGCTACAGGCAATAGAGCTTCGTGAGCCATAGATAAATACTAGATAAATGGAGAGTTTACTCTCTGAACCAATTGGTAGTTCATGCTGAAGCTGAGTCTTCAGCTTGATATGAGGAAATATGAATAATGATAATGGTAATGACAATGTTAATAGAGCATGTAATGAAGAAATAACAATAATAATGACAAGACTAATAGCAAGACTAATGACAAGACTAATAGCAAGACTAATGACAAGACTAATGCTAATGCTAATGTTAATAGCAAGCACGAATATTAGTGACATTACTAATGCCTATACTAATT